GGGCCATCTGTACAGCCAAATGGGGAGAGCCTGGCTGAGGGTGAAGCCAAACACAAAGGGAGTCAGAGCCAAGAGACAAGGAGGGAGACAGCTCTTAAGAAATTTAAGTTCTTGGATTCAGCCATTCCTGAACACGGCTCACTCCAGGATTCTTCAGCCACATGAGCCAGTTAAAGTTGGGTTTCTGTCACCTGCAACAAGGTTCCTAAGCAGCACACCTACTAAGGGTCAGGTACCACGCAGTGGGGTTTAACCACAGAGATGTGAGCCTGATCCTGGAAGACCTCATTTTCTCTTCATTTCTAAAAGCAGCTATACTGAGATATAATTCACATGCCATAACATTCATTCTTTTAAAGTGTGTAGTTCCACGGGTTTCAGTATAGTCACAGAAATGTGCGGACATCAGGACGGATTACTTTCTATCTCGAGCTGAAAACGATGAACGTGCGCTTGTTGTGTTCTGCCCTATCCACCAGCTCCTCTCCTGAACCCAGGACTGGGTTTGCCCCTGCTTTCTGCAATACCAATAAACGCAGCAGGTGCTCAGTTAATGCCTACTAAGCTGTATCAGACCTCCTTGAAGAGCTTGGCCTCCATCCCACAGGGGTTTGGTCCACTCTAAAGCACAAAGAATGAGACAGCAGATATTTGGCAACCCCCTCAAGGAAAGGACATACCCACCAATCACTAGGTTTCCTAAGCTGGATCCCTGCGATGGGGTAGACTTTCTGAGAGGTGCACACCTGGAGCGTGCTCCTTTGGCTTCCTGAACTTTTCCCAAGTTTATTACAGAATAATTTAAAATAGTAACAAGTGGGAAGACATACAAATCCAACAATAGGGGAATGACTTAAAACTTACGGGACACCCATAGGATAGGATAGAATAGAATAGTAAACAGCCGCTAAAATTCATCTTTGCAGAGAGGATTTGAGGGCACGGAGACATAACCATGCTATAACATTAAGTGAATGAAACAAAATATAAAAGGATGCATAGAGATCTCAAGTACACCAAATAGTAAACACCAGCAACTGGAAGGGAATAATGCTAATTATTAGATGCAATTATCTTTGCGTAGGTGGATTATATGCAGTTTTCTCATGTTTCTCTACAATTTTTTTTCCAAAATGAATATTACTTTAAATAAATCAGGAAAGCCAATAATATCTGTAACTCAGCCCTTGGTTATTATTTAATTTTATTAATATGACTACCAAAGAATGAGAAACAACCACAGGAAGAATATTTCTGAGCCCGTAAAACTTTTATTTAAAAAAGACACTGTCCCTCGGAGTCTTTTAAACAAGCATATAGGTAAGCTAAACCACCATGTTTCCTTTTTAATCTTGACTGCCAAGAAGCTCAGAGCTAAAACTTAATTCACAAAAATGCAATAGCCATCTTAGCCCAGGTTCTGGGTTCAGTAACGCCCACTTATCTACGTGGCTCCTGCTGCTTCCTCTTATCTGTATCTCCCGTTGTCTTGCCTGTCTTTTCATATGTTCACATGTTCCTTGGAATGCGTGAAGCAGTACTTGCTGAAGTGACTGGAGGCACACCCAAGAAGAGAGGTCCTGCCTAACAGATATTCTGCTGGGACGCTTCATTTTTACAAACACATGGCACTGAGTGGGGCTCTGAATCCTTTATTGCTATTCTAATCACAGCAGAGGGGCACCTGAAGAACAGTGTGTGGGAGGCTCCTGTATGGAGGCAGGCTGGTCCCAGTGATCAGATTAAGCCATGTCTTGCTAATCTCCGTCTCCGCGGGCTGTGTGGACAGCGGTCCATCCCGGCTGCCCGCATTTTCTGGCCATTGACTGAGGGCAAACGATAGCGAAGCTGCCACAACGCGCCCACCACGTCCATCCTGTGTTCATGTCCATAGACATCAAGTGACACTGCCAACAGTGCCTAGACAGTACATTCAATCCCTAAAGACATCCTGTCTGAATCAAACAGGGTCCACACGCTCTAAGACGAGCCCCAAACACCCTTCAGGTTTTACTGCAATTACCCAGCCCAATCCTTTACTTTGGCTTTAGAAAAGCCCCTCTACTCGATAAAGATGGGCCACTTGAAAAAATTAAGTATTCTATCACCTGGGTGTTCTCCCAACTGTGGCACCTCATGGCAGGAGATAACATATTTATCTGATTCTAAGCCAAGAATCTTTTTTTCTGGTGATAACTTCACTGACTCTTCATGAGATGAGGAAAAACAAATAAGCAAACTTAACATTTTAGTCGTGACCATTTTACCACATCTAAAGTCGCAACGTCTTGCTTGTGAATCTACCGCACAGGAAAGGGGAAGCAGGAAAGGAAAGGAAGGCCGGAAACACTCATTTAGTGCCTACAGCATGCCAGACAGAGGACTGGCCGCCGTGCTGTCCACTCACGGCATCTTCCCTTCCAGCCAGTTATCTCCCTTAAGCGTCCCAATACCATCCTGCGGAGTACATATAATAGTCCCAGTTTTTCAGAAGTGGAAATCTAGGCTTAGAGAGATTAAATCCCTTGCTCAAGGTCACCCACGGGGAAGATACGAGGTTTCTGACCAGACTCAGGACAGAGCCACCCCAAAGCCGGTGCTCTGTACCCCTTCAAACGGCTAGAAACACCTCTGCTTGCGTGAGGCTAAGATTACCCGCGGCCCTCCTTCCCTCGAGCTCAAGTGCCTTCTGACTGCCTCATCCTCTTGACTTTAGGCCCCCTCTCACTCAGAAAGTCATCAAGACACACTTGAAAAATAAAATATAAAAGCATCAACCCACATCCTGAAATCGAGCATCCTCCTCTTTGCTGCCGCTAACAAGCTAATACGAAATCTCTTTCAGGGAAGCTTTCTGAATGGAATAAATTGGTGAAAACATTATGCAGCTGACAATATTTGGTGATGATGCAAACAGGGCTGCCCTGTCCACAAATGGTTTTGTCTCCAAAGAACCTGCTCTCCTGTGTCCTTTTCAAAAAAAAAAGATAGAGCAACAGAGAAACAGTACCCAGAAGACATGGCTCGGTATAATTGCACTGCCCTCTCTGTTTATGTGTGTCGGACAAGTACCCCCAGAGAACTTGAAATGTTCTGGAGAAGACAGGAATGTCATTCAGAGATGATTCCACAGGGGCTGGCTCTGCACAGCTCCCCGGCTTACATCCTCCCAGGGCAAAGGAAGCCTCTCCGCTTGCACCTCCGTGCCCCGCCACCCACTGCCATCCGTTCCTTCACCTTTTATTTACATCGCAGAGAAGACCGGTTCATCAGTGAAGGGGGGAGGCGGGAAATAAGACGCAATCCAGATTTCTGCTTTTTCCGGGGACTCAAAAGCGGGGGGGTGGGGGTGGGGGTCACACAGGGAAGGAAGTGGAGCCTAGGGTGCCCGATCAGCGCGGCACGGCGACCCTCCCCTCCCCTCCTGCACCAGGACTCCAGCAGAAGTGCCCAGGGAGCCCCAGGAAGCCGGGTCGATTAAGCCCGTGGCCTTGGCCGGGCTTGGCGCGGTGGAAGAGGCGCCAACCGAGCGTCCTGCACAGGAAACCACTGCCCCCTTCAGGCCGCGTCTCAGCCGCTGTGGCCGGAGCGGAGGGGCTCCCTCAGCCTGGAAAAACTCGCAAACCCGACCTCACGCGGCCAGCGACTGCTCCTCTGAGCCCCCTCGGCGCACCCTAGTTCTCGGGCGGGCGGAGATGTGCGCTGTTGCTACAGCTGGAACGCAAGCTGAGGGTGTAAGAAGGGGGCTTAGGACGGAAATCTCTGGGCTCTTCTGCTCCCCTCAGAGAAAGAGGCCGGGAAGGCAAGCCGACTGCTTGCGCTCCAAGTCCGTGCTTCAAGTCTGCGCCCCGGGAAACTCGCCGGCAGCCGCCCGGCCACCAGCAGCGGCCCGGCCGCACACCCTCGCGCGTCCGGGGCGAGACCTGCTCGGGCCACTCTGAGCAACTAACCGGAAGGGGTCTCAGGAAGCCGCTCGGCCACAGGCAGCGCCAGGCACCTGCAGGCAGCAAGCAGCGCTGCAGAGCCGGCGGCCCCACACCAGGTTCCGAGCTGCTGGCGCGCACCAGGCGCCCAGCCCTGATGCGCGCTCCGCCCCTGGGTCCCCGAGTCCTCCGGACCTCAAAAGCTCAATTAGGCTTTTCTGAGGCCCGCAAGCAGGCCCGTGGCCTCTCCAGCCCCTGATGGCCCAGTTTATAGTCGATGCGCCTGTTCTTCCCACCGAGCACTCCACAGCCCCACCAGCGGGACTTGGGCAGGGGTGACCACTGCAGGCCTTTCACGAGGTTGTTACCACCTTCTCCACTCTCTCTGGGCAAAGGAGACCCTAGTTCTCCATCCCACATCCCACAAGCATACACACATACACAATCCCAGAGGGGAAAGATGCTCAGCAAATCTCGGCACCAGCTTTGCGAGCCGAGCCCGGCGGGACCCGGAGGGTAAGCGCTGAGCCCCAGCCTGAGGTGCCCTCGGCAGGCTCAGCGAGGGCTCTGCCCAAGGGCCGAAGCTTGCGTCTGCCCAACACGCCCTGCCCCACTGCCCCCGCAGCCCCGACGGCGCGGGCGGCCGGACGCTCACCTCGGTGTCGTAGAGTCGCAGGTCGAGGAAGTAGGGGCGCAGGAGCGACTCGTTGCGGATCTGCTCGATGGCCAGCTCCACCGCGGGGAGCACGCCGCGCCCGATACTGCCCTTGGCCACCTCCTTGGTGAGCGGCATGAGGCCCATGATGGAGAGCGGCGGGCTGCTGGGCGGCGGCCGGGGGGCACCCCGCGCCCAGCCCCAGGCCCCGGGCGCGAGCGGCAGCAGCAGCGGCAGCAGCAGGAGCAGCAGCAGGCGCGCGGGCGGCGGTGGCGGCGGCGGCGGCGGCGGCGGCCCGGGCTGCCCGGAGCTAGGCGGGGAAGCCATGCCGCGCCGCGGGCTGCGGGCGCCGGCTCACTCGGCCCGCATGGCCTGGCCCGGCCCGCCGCCCCGCGCCAAGATCTCCCCGCGGCGCCCGCGCAATGGCGCCGATCCCCGCACCGGCTCGGGCTCCGGCTCCGGCTCCGGCTAGGCACAGAACGGCCGCGGCGGCAGCGACAGCGGCAGCGGCGGCGCCCGTGACGGATCAATCACGCCGGGAAGGGGTGGGAGCGAGCAGAGTGCGGGAGGCGGGGAGCCAGCGAGCAAACGCGAAGAGGGGGGCCGGCGTCTCCGCGCGCGCCTCTCCGGCGCGGCCGCCCCGAACCCGGCCGCCTCCGCCCGCCCCCGTGCGCGCTCTGAGCTGCTCTCCCGCCGCGAGCCGTTCGGCAGCAGCCCCTGGAGCCCGGCCGGGGGAGGGCGAGCGGCAGGAAACGCGGGAGGCGAAGGCGAGGCTGCTCCGCGGCGGCTCGGGCCGCCTCCGGGGACAGGGACGGGCCGTGCGCGCCGGGGGAGGGGAGGCGCTGGCGCTGCGGCGGCCGCGGGGAAGGCCGCCTTCCCAGCACACGCACACCCGCGCCCCCGGCCCTCCGCCGCGCGGGCTGCCCCGCGACCGCCTGGACCTGAGCTCCGGGGGACAGCGGCTGAAGGAACGAGGACGGCGTGCTGGCACACGCAGTGGCCACGGTCGCCTCGCCGAGCGCTTCCTGTAGCACCTGCACGACGATGTGGGACTGCCTCTCGGAGGTCTGGCTGGGAAGGTCTGGTCTGCGAGCGCGCCACGGAGGCGTCCTAGAGGCACCTGCAGCCTACACTCCCCTGCTCTACTGTGGTATCTGGGGGGCCATGACTGAGCCCGAAGCGGCGGCTAAAAATGCCGCCGGCGGTTGAACGCCCTTTGGTGCTGAGGTTTCTGGCCTTTAAGGTGTGGCTGAAAGCCCCCTTCCTCCCCCTAGCCTGAGTTTTGCGTTGCCAACCTCAGGAGCCTGGAGCCTTCACCTTGCGTGTGCTATCGCCCCCTCCAGGCGTTTGACCTCCCCCGTGTCCCCGTTCCCAAAGGGGGCTCCGCCCTAGAATTCGCCCACCCCTGCCTCTCCAGGTCGCAGTACCATCCTCAGGCCGCAGGAGATCCAGGCTCCCCTGTCTGACAGGCCGGGCCAGCTGCACTGGCTCACCTTAATTAGCAGTCCTGTAATCTGACCTGGCCCCTGGGCCCGTGCACCTCTCTGAGCCTGAACAGTAGGAATCGCGGCCATTAACATGTAAAACCCCAAGAGGGGCTCAATAAGGGGGACACACTGGGCCATCACTTCAGAAACCCTTGAACCAACCATTTGCGGGCAATGGCAATAGGACGACCTTGTAACAAGGTTGAGAATTTAACCTCACTGAGCACTTCCTACATTTATGAAACCCTCACAATAGCCCTGGGAGCCAAGAGCTTGTGTATCATCCTCACTTTACAGACCAGTACCTTGAGAGGTTTCACAGCGTGTTGAAGTACAAAGAACTACTGCCAGAGCACCGGAACCCAGAGCCAGCAGCAGCTCTGGACACAGCGCGGAGGTCAGGACCAGAAGCATGTCCCCCGTGGGAGGGGAACTGCCCGGACTGGGCTGTTTGGGACCTTGCTTCCCTTGGGCATGTGGTGAAGGAGCTGGACCACATGCCGTCCACAGACTTGATCTGGAGTGAGGCAGGGGCAGCCCTGAATCACAGGTTGGGTTATTACCAGGAATCATGAAGATGGGGAGGAGAGGCTGAGCCCAACTCCTGGAGAGTAACTTGGACAGCTCTGGGGAAACCGGGCCAAATTCTTCCTATCCAACTCCTCTTTCTAGGCTTCTGCAGACACCACCTCCCAAGCTCCACTTAGCCTTTCCAAGCTGGAGGGTTTGAAAGGGGCAGAGCTCACTTGGGCATCTCCACCAAAAAAGGTGGTCCAGAGGACAGTGTAATCCTCAAGATATCTCTGATGTGATCTTGACATCACAGATATCCCCTAGTCATAGGCTTCCAGCAGCTACCGTTCCTCAACTTCTAAGCTCAGGTTTCTGAATGAGCATTTTCATTTTTTTCCCTTAGTCATTTATGTTTTCCTTGTAAGCCATGCCAATATGGAGTATCTGCTGACACCTACATCTGGGAATAAGTTGAAAGCTGGAACAACTTTGCTTGACATTTACTAAGTGATTGAAGGCCCTGCCTGGCAACTACCTTTCCGCCTCTCAGTCTCCATTTATGAGGTGACCTGACCTCTAGACACAAGGGATCAGCCCTGACCCAAGGAACTCCAGTCTTACTCTCCATCAGTCGGGCTCCAGGCCAAACTGTGATCTCATACCCCACTTCTGATGTCAGCGCATCTCTCTGGTTCCCAGATCCCACTCTGGTCTGTGTTCCAGTATGGGTAACTGGATCACAGGCATGCTTCCTTGGGTCTGAGTTCCAACCTTGGTCACCAGTTTCAACTCCATGTTCTTCTAGAGCTGGAGTTCAGCCCTGTTGCTTTATAATAATCATTCATTCCTTCAGTCAATGTTTTGTAGTGTCTACTATGTGCTGGGCAGTGTCCTAGAAGCTGAGGATACGGAAATAAACAAGCAGACTAAAATCTCTGCCCTTGAACAGATTCACACACATAGAGAATGGACTTGTGGACACAGCGGGGGGAGAAAGTGGAATGAACTGATAGAGTAGGGCTGACATATACACACTGTTGTTGTTTTTGTTGTTTACTCACTAAGTCGTGTCTGACTCTTTGCAACCCCGTGGATGGTAGCCCACCAGGCTTCTCTGTCCATAGGGTTTTCTAGGCAACATTATTGGATTTCATTGCCATGTCCTCCTCCAGGGGATATTCCCAACCTGGGGACTGCATTTGCATCTTCTGCATTGGTAGTCAGGTTCTTTAGTGCTGAGCCTCTGGAGAATGGGCACACGTACCCCGCCACGCATAAACAGATGGTGGGGAGCTGCTGTATAACTACAGGGGGCTCAGCTGGGGGCTCCGTGGTGTCTCGAGGGGCGGGGCGGGGTGGGAGGGAGGCTCAGGAGGAAGCGGGCTTATGTGTGTTTATAGTTGACTCACTGTTGCAGAGCAGAAGCTAACAACACTGTAAAGCAATTATTCTCCAGGAGAAATAAAATAAAACCCCTGCCTTCATAAAACGGACATTCTAGTGGAGAAAGAGAGACAATAAACAGAAAGAAGAGGGTATTTTAGTATGCCAGTTTATGAAAAGTTCTATGGAGAACAACAAATCGAGAAAGAGGATTGAGACTGACAGGGTGGGCCTGAAATTAGAAATAGGGAGGTCACGGAAGGACACATTGAGATGACTTTTCAGCAGAGACGTAGAGGAGGTGAATAAGACAGACGTGCAAACAGTGTTCCAGGTGGAGGAACAGCAAGGGCAGAGGCTCTGAGACAGAAGTGTGCCTGGCATGTTCAAGGAGCTGTCAGGAAGCCAGTGGAGCCGCGGTGGAGTAAGCAAAGGGAAAAGCAGTAGTTCCCAAGGTCAAAGGCAAGAGAGATCGGGCAGCACCTGAGCACTGTGAGGACTCTGGTCTGCACATGATGACCTGGGGAGCAACCCGGAGGAACTGGCGCATCAGCAGCGTGATCTGACCTTCAAGTGAAGGGTCGCTGGCAGGGGCACGAGAGGAGGCAGGGAGACCAGTGAGCAGGCTATTGCGATAAGCCGCATACGGTAGCAAGAACCAGGCTACAAGCAGAGGAGCTGGTGAGAAGTGGCAGGTTAATAATCTTCATATTGTTAATGGGAATAAAATGCATTGTCAGATGCCAAGTCCCAGGACTGTGGTGAAGAACTGACAAGGACACAGCAGAGACTTTAGAAAGCAATGTGCTCAGGGTGACACCCTTAGAAAGCGATAAAGCACAAATGTCAGTCCAGGTCTGTATGGCTTAAATACTCATTTTCCTCCCCAAATCCTGCCTCCTTAAGCAACCCTTTCTCCCACGCCCTCTGCCTATACACATGAACCAGAAGCTAGTCTCCAAACTCGAGCTTTGAGGTTGGGGCTGTGTTGAAAGAGGATACCTGTCCCCTTCCTGGGGATGTGAGAGGACCATGCATAGTCCACGGGCTGCCTGGCGGCAGGACGCCGGATCCCTCTGAGCAGGACCCTGACAGCGGGAGGCTCACCAGGCCTCCCTCGCTGTCTGTCCTCCTTCCACACTGGGCTGGACAGCTCTGGTGCCCGTTGCTCACCTCTCCATTCCCACGGCCACCTTCTCCTGAGAAGTGGGTCTAGTTTCCAACACCCTGTTCTCAGCCCATCCTGTCAGCCATGCCTGCCTCTGTTCGAACTCCCAGTAACAGGGAGGTCTTCTTTTAAGCTTTCTTTAAAAAAAAAAATCTTTGTAAATATCTCCCATGTATATTTCTTACTCATGTTTACTTTACATTGAAATGTTTCTTTCAGTCAAGTAGCTCAGCTGTTTTTAAGTACATCGTTTGTTTTCATTTCCATTTTTTAATGGATAAGTTATGAATGATGGATCCAAAAAAATATTAGCTGAATGAATCTAAGTTGCTTTTCTTTTTTCACAAGGCATGTTTTTTAAACCATAAAATTGGGTTTCAGGCATCAGATGTGGTCTGGTGACACAGTTCGAGTAATAATAATAGCTACCATTTATTAAACGCCTACCTATTCTGTGCCAGACACCTTGGTATGCATCATCTTAATCTTCATGACTGCCTGAAAAATAGGTGTTAGGATCCCAGTTTTGCAAATTATGAGACTGTGGTCCAGATGGATTAAATGACGTGCCTAATGATACTCTGCAAGAGACCTGGGTTCGATCCCTGGGTCAGGAAGATCCCCTGGGGAAGGAAATGGCAACCCCCTCCAGTATTCTTGCCTGGAAAATCCCATGGACAGAGGAGCCTGGTTGGCTATAGTCCATGGGGTTGCAAAGAGTCGGACACGACTGAGCGACTTCACTTTCAATGATACTCAGCAGAAGCAGCAACAGTGCCCAGACCCAGTCTGTCTGACCCCAGACTCTCCTCCACATTTGCCTCTCCTCCACATGCCTCTCCTTGGAGATGCCCTTATAGAACTTATAGGAGGAAAGAGTCTTTCAAAAGTAAAGAATGCTACTGATGGTCAACATAAGAAAGAGGTAAGATGATTTGGCCAGGATTCCCCGCTGGAGGAGAGATGAAGCTGGGTCTCCTTTATCAGGGGAGAGCGTCTGGCCTGGAGACAGTCTGGCTAAACCTTTCAGGAGTCAGTGCCAAGCCGGGGGTGGGGACTGGGGAGGGACTAGGGAGGACCAGCAGGGCCTGCTCTTCGTACAGTCCAAAGACAGGAGGAGGATGGGGCTGTCACCATGCTCCATGCGGCCGGACAGATCCTAAGCGTGGATAGGCAGGAAATTTAGCTCATAACTGAGAGGTCTCCAGAAGGACATCTCCTCCCATTTAGAGTTTCAAAAACAATAAGATGCTTTACAAAGAGGATCAGAGACGGACAAGAGGCACAGTTTAGGAAGAGCCTTAGATGGGGAAGCATCCTATCAAGTGTCTGGTCCAACCACTCATCAAACCTTAGTGCTGATGGCGAGTTTTGGAGTCAGGCTGACCAATTATTAGTGGTACAATTCTGGAAAGTCACCCACCTTCCTGAGCTTTAGTTTCCTCACCTCTAAAGTGGGAATAAATTATTCATCTTTCAC